TTACGTCGACGTTCTCGTTCGCTAATACATACTACCTCAAGTTCCTTTCTGCGAACATTTAAAGGATAAATGCTAGTAAAAATCAGACAAGGAGTAGTGATAATCTTGGGCAAAAATCAAATATAACAATATTTATTCAAAAGTTTAAATGACAGAGAAGCTTTTAAAGATTATGCAATCTCTAGTAATACTAAAGATTTTTTATATTATTTAATATTACTGTTCAAGCAAGTATCATTAATCAAAGAATTTTTGGGAAAGTATAGTAGAGTATTGCTTTATTAAATATATATTGATTTATTCTTTAAATTAATAAAAAAAATTAATTTTATTAATTTTTACTTTTTATTTATTTATTTTTTTTGTATTCGGCTAACTAGGCCATGTCTATGTATCTATTTTATTTAATTCATATATGCTTTACATCATGTATTATAGGATGAAGCTATTGATTATACATTTGAGGATCTACATGTATCAAGGCTAATGTGCTAAAGCTTCAACAGTGCCGTTATTTCTAACTGGGAATATATTAAGAGAAAGTGTGAAGAAAGGAACTGGAGGTAGTATCTATTAGGTAAATAGAACCTCTGCAGAGAAAATTCTTCTAAATCTGATCACCTGCAACTGGGTATACCATTTAATTTTCACCTTCTTAGAGCTACTCAAGAATGTTCAAGGAACTTATCTTATAGACTTACTGCCTATAGATTATTTCAGTTATTAGTACTTACTGCTGTTTTGGTTGCCTTCCCAGAATAAGTAACTGTCAAAGTGATCTATTACTGGATTTGAATAAGGCCTTTCCAGAAACTTGCAGAAAGAAACACCAGGTACTACAGGGAAACAATTACCAAGCCAACTTACTGAAAGCAAACATCTCATACACTTTGTAACTTTTGACGATTATAGTAATACCAATCAGATAATCATTATGCCATAATACCTTTTCTAGAAATTACAATTTCAACGCTCACTGGATCAGTATGTGAAATGGCTTCTCATAGGAAACAGCACTTTTACAGGTTATGGTGCCAAATACTATATTGATTCTATTCAACTGCCCTTACATATTATTGAACTGATATTTTGTAATTTGATCTATAAAGTGTTACCCACTATACTATAGATCCACAGGTCTTACTTTTTATTGATATACTGTATATATTTTATTAAATAATTATATTTTTTCCTAAAGGTTTTTTTTTTAAATTAAAAAATTAAACTTTATATTAGGGCTTCTAATAATATTATTTCGATACCACTTTGATACTTAAATTTACTATAAAAACATATAAGTAGGTTACAACCCATATATATAATTTACTATAGATCAGTACTATTTTGATACTAGTTCAATATCAGTTTGGTACTTTTCAGAACTCTACTTTATATTAAAATTGTTTATATTGTTACCTTGAAAGATTAGTAATATATTCAATATTTACTTCTTATTATTATTCAATATATTTTATTGTATTATAAAAAATTACAATCAGTTTATTTCTGTTAACTAATTGATATTTTCAACTTAACCAATCAAATATTATCAATTATTAAAACAAAACTGTATAGCTAACATATTTTACAATAATTAATGTAAATAAAATCCATTTTAACAATAACAATCAAAACAAATATTCAAACTTAAACAACAATACTATTACAATTATCAATAATGATTCAAGAAATAGATATGTCAGCAATATTATTATATGTAATTTTTGCAATAGAAATTTTTATTTTAAAATTTAATTTGATATTTATCATTACGTGTTAAATATAAAGAAAATCATGGAAAATAAAACAAATAGTCTTACTCACTATAAATTATGTGGAGAGATAATGGTAAAAAAAAAAAAAAGAGAAAGATACTTCTGCAATTAAGGTAGATAGAATTTGATTTGTATTTTATTCCTTTTATTTTTAACCGACAAACTCTTATTGCATTTAATATATATTATGTGTGTACCGTTATGTGATTCTATCATAAACATAATTCTAGTTCTTATATTTAATTTGTTTATTCTTCGTGAATTTATAAAATTTTTAACAATAGGAAAGTGAAGGTTGCTATTTTCGCAAGCTAATATAATAACAAGTGGCATACTTTACGTAACCCATGACACAAGTATAAAAACAAGAGGGCAGAAATATACGTGGGGTTGAATTTTTCCGATAGTAATAACTTTATTAACTATGCTCCTTATTCAATACATTTTTTATATATTTCATCGTAAATCAAAAAGAAAAGAAAAGGAAGAAACACGTAGAAAGGTAAAAAATTCAGTATTTACTAAAATATGGTATAGACGACATCATTGATAATTAACAATGGGATTAATATTCCACGGGCCGATGCGTTGTCACGTGACAGAGACAGCGTTCATTACTTTGATAATTAATTTTTGATTTCAAGAATAAAAATTTGTAGTAACCGATTTTAGTTAAATCAATTCGAATTTACTTGGAAAAGAATTTAGGCTACCCATAACCCGATATGCAATGACCTTCGGAATTGTATTCTTAGACAGATCAAGGTCTTAACGGACGAGACCGTAGACATTACATTGCAATCAGGACGCCTTTTCATTTTAAGGGCAAACTTTACCGAAACTTGGCTTCTGATTTTAAGAGTAAATTTTCAGCTCACGTAATGTACAGTATACTATCTGATATAGATAAATATAAGAAAATTAATTAAATCATGGACACTTTAGTAATACAGTATTTTATGCAGGTTTTAAGAACATATCTTAAAATCCGTTTTTATATTTATTTATCAAATTAACTACAAATAAAATTTTCAAAAGACGTCGCAAATTTAAGAAAATAAAATTATTAAATAAGTGGGCTGTATACATCCTGGACCGATTTTTTTTCATTAAATACGTCAGTAGCATTAATTAGCGATCGATTAATACTATGCGCATAAAAGTTTGAATATAATACGATCCAAGTGGTAAAATCTATGTTGACTCTTTAATTTACATTATCTGCCAAAACTTCATAGTCATTACCTATATGATCGCTAATAACTTTGGTGGCTATCTTTCTATTTGCGCTCTTAGATTTAAAAATAGTGTTTGTTAAGAGCTCAAGTTGATCGCTCGAGTTTTTAAACGAGGGTGAGGTAAATATGTCAATATAGTCTTGGAAGGCATATTTGTATCCGTTCTGTTTTATGGATTTTTGAACAACCGAAAACCCATCGTAGATAAATCTAATCCCGGCCCAATTTTCAGCTACGAATGCTTCAAAAGGTAACGTCTTGGCAACTTTAATAAAATAATCTCCGTCAGCCTTGGCAGCTGCTGAAATCGGTTTACCGTAAATATCGAAGTTATGTTCTACTGCGAGGTTTTTTAGGATGGCTCCATAACCTTCAATTTGGTTCATAATACCGGCTAAAAAGTCTATAAAGAATTCCGGTGGTGCATCTCCAAGGCCCCAGTCTTTTGGAGGCGGAATAGGGGCTCTGGTTAACGCATATCCTACAGACCTTGCCCAAAGGACAAGCCAGTTATGTGATTGGACAATGTCATTTATGAATGCGGAATCTTTAGCAGTGCCATTTGCTATTGCATTTAAATATGGATTATTGTAGGTAATTTTTTCAACAAGTAATTTATGAGTTCTTATATACTCCTGGGTAAATGTTTCTTCTTCAGCGTGATTTGCTTGGATAAAGGTCAATAAGAAGAACGCAAGAAAAGCCAGGTAAAAATTAAAAGACTTGAAAGAAGTCATTTTGTAGACGCTGAATTATCGAAGAAGATGCATTGGTTTTTATACATTCTCAAAGAGATGTGGAGACTGCAATACAATGAAGCCTGTGTTTTTCACGATTTCTTTTTTCGTTTATAAGATCTGCAGGAAAACGTATTTTCAATGGCTACTCACCGACATAATATACAAATACCATATTAGGTTATTGAATGAACGATTTTTTGAATGATCAATCAATTACAATACTGTTACACTTTTCGTTTGATTGATCAAATAATAGTCGTATAAATAACATTAATGATATGCTGTTGTTATTAGTACCCGCAACAGTAATCGGAGTTCATTTTAAAACAATAATTTTTGACCAAGTTTGTAAAACAGGAATCCTCGAAAGTAAAATTTGTCAATAATTTGGCAGAATGATTATTTCTTATTTAGAATGTAATTTTTTTTTTCGAAAAAAAAGTTTTTTAGTACTTAATTAGGTAACATCGAAAAGATTATAGCTTGTATGAAACCTTAAAGTGCGTACTACAAAAACCACATAAAAATATAAACGCCATCCATTTTATTTCAGCACACGATTTTACGATATATTAATTCATGTGAAATTTCAAAGTGCCTGCATACTTTATACAGTAGTTATGCGATTCAATGATTTTAGCAACATTTTTGATGTAAATTACCTTTTTGTAGTAAAAATAAATGCAAGTATTAAATATATACAATGATAGAGTTAATAAAATACTCTCAATAACATATAAATAGTTTTTTGTTTTGTAAAAAAAGTAAAATTTTTTAAATTTATAATTATATAAAATCTAATTCCATATTATTTAAATACTGTATATGGTTTATTATATTATATATATATATTGTTCCATTTCATTTTTTTTATCGATTTTATTTATTTTTAAATACTATTTATCCTGATTTTTTTAATTTTACACAATATACAGTATATATTTAGAAAAATTTAAGAATTTGAATTAAAATTTAAAAAATATTGAAAGCCAAATTTTTTTTTAAAAAAAGAAAAAGTTTGTATTAAAAAATTTTTTTTAAATTAATTTCCAATGTATTAAAATAACTCTTTATTATTATTTGCAAACAAACAAACTATTTAACTTTTACTAGTTTATATTGATTAAAAATGTTTAAAATACTTATGCTTAAACTTAAAATATTCAATAAAATAATATATATATATATTTATTATAAAATTTTATTGTTTAAATATTTTCTTAAAATATAAATAACAAAAAGTTTATTTTTGAATTAAGTAATAATATTTTTTAATATTAAAATTTTTTTTCAATATATAAATAAAAATATAATATTAAATTATTTTAATCAAAACAAATATTTTAACGTAATTTTCTTTTATTATAATTAATTGCATTTTGAATTTTTATTATATAAAATAAAACATATAAAGTTTATACAACTTGTTTGTATTTCTTGTTATATTAATTTAAGTATAATTAAAATTTAATACCAAGTAGAGATAAATAAAATTTTTTAAAAAATTAAATAAAAGTTTATATAGTTAAAAAAAGAAAGAAAGAAATGTTAAAAAAAATATAATAAGATTCTTAGATTAATTAATTGTTTTTTTAAAAATATAAAAATTTTTAAATAAAAAAAATATTTTTTTATTATTTTTTTACAAAAATTTAAAAAATTTATTAATAATTTAAATGCAATAGCAAAGGGCACTGCTAAAGATTCATAATTAATAAATGACATTGTACAATCACATAACAGAATTGTCAGTTAGGCA